ATATGCTCTTTGCAGTAAATTACATTTTGTCAATTGACTAAATATCAGTGTTGTGACCAGAAACTCTTTTGGCTTCCCGAAACGTTTCGGAAAATGAACTTACACTAATACTAAACAGAAAACTAAAACTAAAACTAAAACTAAACATAAACTACTAACCTAAACTAGTTTCGGGTGGTTTCTGTCAGTTTCTGTTTCGGGTTTTCCCTAAACTCAGAGTTTCAGGTCACAACACTGGTCCGACTTATCGAGTTTAGATGTGTATTTTGATTTTTTATAATTCAAGGAACAATCTTGGTTAAATCGGATACGTAGGTTTGTGTATACCGGAGTGGTTTTTTTCTTCGATTTTATAAAATTATGCACGAAGATCATTAACTTTATATATTGCTAAAAACAAATTCCGCATGCATGCCGTGCATTAAAAAAACACTATATTCTGTATAATTTCCGTTATAACATTTATGCATTCTGCAGCAATTTTGCGATTATACAGTTGACGTAATGTTGCTGCTTGTGGGATAGCAGCACCTTCTTTACAATGTTTTCTAAAAAAAATTAAGTAACGAATCAACTTTTTCTAAAGGGATATCTGCTATAGCAAAGGCTTCAATTAAATCGTGAATTATAATTTTTTAGACTCAGAAGAAGAAGAGAGGTAACAAGTGTTTGTTGAAGTTGACGTTGTTTATTTTCATACAGATTTTTCTTAGCTTTATGTGTTTTACTATTAAGGTGGTCATCAACCGTTGACTTTCGTATCCAATCAACAGAATGGTCACAAAAATTACAAAATAAAATTCCATTGTCAATGCGAAATTCACCAGGATTTTCTTTTACTCTAGTATTGATTGTAATCGTTGTTCTTCTACCTCTCCTTCTATTATTCATCATAAAAAATAATTTTTTGATTATCATGTTACACTTATTAAATTCCCATTTTTATATTATCTATTACTATGGTATTCTGCGGTACATTATAGTTTAAACAAACATTCCGTGATTTCTGCGGAGTTCTGCGCTATGCAGAAAATCATTGAGTCCTGTTTAAGAGAATTCAAATTAGCCAATCAGGTTTTAATGGTAATTCTCAACTATTTTTTATGAATAAATAATGAATTTTATTATTTTAAATTTTAAATTCAAAAAGTTATTAATTCAGCCTTGCATGCTGCAGAATAACAAATGATCCAACTTTGTATGTCATTCATTACCTGTATGAAAAAAAACACCTTGCAAAATGGCATTTACTTTTAGAAAATTTTGTTCCGCCTCCATCTTTTTTCAAATTGTCCATAGGAATTATTTATTAACAAAATTATTTCTTTGAAATGAGTTTTTTCCATCGGGCTAATAAGGAAATACAATAGCTGATGTAACCAATGGCTGACAGAAGGCCAATATGTTACTTTACTTAACGTGGGTAAAAAATTTTCTCCTGCGGAAATTCAAAAAAATTATCAAAAGCAAAAGCAATTAAACCTCATCTACAAACTTCTATTCATGTAACCTTTTACAATATACAGTATACAGTCAAATCTCGTCAACCACAGCGGATTTCTTGTTACAACGGATTTAAATATTGGCCGATATATAGGAGGTTGTAAATATAAAAAGTAAAGTTTGGATGATCTGCATCATAGTAAAATTTCACATATTAATATGTGAATTTTATATGCAACTTTTTGTCACTTGATATATGTCGATCACCCAGTTTCTATTGTTGATCAGCGACCACGAATTAATAATCCTTAATCCTTAGTCCATTATAATTAATTTATTTATTTAAAACGTGTTTTTACTTGAAGATATATTTTCTTGACAAACACATTAACTCTTTTTATTGAAAAATTTGGTAAATATGAAAGGTTACATGCATCAAAACTATCATCTACAAATGAGAACACAGGACAACATCACTTTGTAAAAACAAATTTAAATAATACGGATTGATTTATTCTAAAAAATTCTTTTTAAAATATACTTGTATATAACATACACGTTAGGCTTACTGTTACACAAATGCTGTCTTTAATAATGAATATTACATCATAAAAAAATTTTCCGCAACTAAATTTATCGTATGCGGATTGATTTTTTCTAAAAGATTATGATTCTTTATGTAACATTAGGACTTACTATACATAAATATTGTTTATAAATTTAAATAAAGTATTTATTATTATCGTATTGAATTTTCCTAAAAGATCATTATGGTTCTTTTTAAAATTTACTTGTATATAGCATGTACGTTAAGGCTGATTATTGAATAAAACGTTGTCCTAATTTATTTTTTTCATTTATCAGGTTAAACTTTATTCATAGTAATATATAACGCAAAACACAAATTTGGCCTATCTAAGAATTTTTTTTGCTTTATCATGCATTATGCATTGTAACAATATTCAATTGATATTTAACGGTCAAAAATAATAAATTCAATTCCAAACTCTCTTCCATCAAATCTTTTCATTCATTATTTGAATGATTTATTCATTAATAGGTTGCTTCTTCAGATGTTTTCTACGGTTAAAATAAACCTTTTTATTTTCTACCTTTTTTTTGGTTTTATCTCCACAGTAAAAGCAGAAAAAAATCTTACTTCAACAGTAACTGAACTTCTTTCTAGCATAGTACAATTACCGCAAATCGTAGTTATTAATGGTGAAGTAGATTTTGTGTGTCCTGGTACTGGTCCTACTAGCAGTTTAAAAGAATACAGCAGCTTTTTTTCTCAAGTAGGGACGTTCATCCATATTGCAGGTCTTCTCTTTACTATAGCTGTTTATGGTGCAAAATCTATATTTGGAATTATGACAACTTGCTTGATTGATGACATTGTTATTCTTACAACTTCTTATGGGCCAATCCTTTGGTGGTACACTTTTGCCAAACCATTTTGGATTTATGGAATAATAAAACAGCTCCAAGATCCAAACTATAACCATGATCTTATCTATTCAACAGTTCTTGGCATTTTGTTTGGAAGTATGGTAATTATTCTGTTTTGGATGGGAATTATCAGGTTTCATTTTCACAGACATCTGAACCAACTCTATGATGATTCATCATGCTTTCAAATGCTTCCGGAGAAGCTCCGTTTTACCAACGAAAATTACTTCAGTACTTTAAAAGCCTTCTTTATTTGGGTTTTTTTTATACATTCAATTGAAGTCATAATTTATAGTGCCTTGACATATAGATACATCTTTTTAACAATCTTCAGACAATTCGATGAACTTAATTCAAATAATGGATCAAAGGTTGATGTACGTGCTAAGCAAATCAACTTGTTATTTTTAAATTATTTCATGAATTTTTGTTATTTTCTTGCAACTCTTTGTTTAGTTGCAACATATCATTTTCCTAATTTGGAAAGATTTATTACTAGTAAAGATAGACGTTACAGCGGTTTTGTTCGCAAAAAAGTTTTCTTTTTTACCATTACCCTTTGCATACTTCATTTATTTTTTGAATATTATTGGTTTTGTACCAAACCTTTTTTTAACACAGTTTTTAACACTATGCTCACCATCATTTTGACCCGTTCAATCGCATCATTCTTTTCTGAAAATGGAATAATTGAATATATTTATAGACATGGCGAAGATGAGAAGGTTTATGCAGAAATCAAATTTAAAAATATTAACGAGGTTGTACATTTTTATTATCAAAAGCAAAAGAATAAGGACGACTGGACAAGATGCCGATTTGGTTCTACAGGCGGACACTTTTATATTTGTGAAGAAAAAGATGATGTAGGAAAAAATGATCAAGAAAAAGATGATGTTAAAGGAAAAAATGATCAAGAAAAAGATGATGTTAAAGGAAAAAATGATCAAGAAAAAGATGATGTAGGAAAAAATAATCAAGAAAAAGACAATTTAAAAAATAAAGTCCTGATTTTTTTCTGTGTCATTTTTTATTTTTTCTTTATTATCTATGGATTATTTAAAAAATTATTCACGAATGAAGGAACAGGAACAGGAACAGGAACAGTCGAAGGAAAAGAAACAGACGAAGGATCAAAAAAAGAAAAAAATTATTCCTACGTTATGATTAATGATAACTGGGTACAATTTTATCAGCTTGACTATGAATACAATGAGGCGGAACAGCTAAATGATAAAAAATTCAGATTTTTTCTTAGATTGAAAAAATATTTTTTTGGGAAAGGAGTCATTGAAAGCGGCCCGATTCTAAAAGAAATCAAGAAAATTACCGGGGCAGATGCAACTTGTTCTCTAAAACATCGTCATTGCGAAAAAATTGAAAAAGCTATGAAAGAAAAGATTGAAAAAGCTATCGAAGCAAAGATCACAAATATTGAACATGATCCTAATATTAAGGAGAAAAAAGTGAAAAGGACAAGTGGAGATAAAATTCCGGGAGGGGAAGAGAAAGACAATGTGGAAGAGAAAGACAATGTGGAAGAGAAAGACAAAGTGAAACAGATGAATGCGGAAGATAAGGTGCGAATCAACATACTTGAAACCGGAGCTCTTAATTATCTTATTTACTCTCATCGTAAAAATTCCAATGAGGAACCAGCATTACCTAATAATGAATGCTGAAATGCTGAAAGAAAAATTTTTTTTTTCAATAAACATGACACCATCAAATTGTATATTAAATAGGTTTAAATGGTATATATGATTGGTTGTTATAAAAGTCAAATCCATAATTATTCATGTGAATGGATTTTTAAAATTTACTTCATTTTGTATTATTTTAATAAATTCAATATTCTTATGTGAAATTATAGTTCAAACTATTGTATATCCGATATTAATCATCACTGCTAATTTATTTTTAATAAAATTTCACCCAAATGGTTAGTAAGAAAACTTTAACATTTAACCAACGCCCCAATCATATGAAATATAGGGTCTTCTGAAGCAATAATTCATGAAGCGGGACATAATTCGTGATTCGAAGCATAATTTGTGAAACAAGACATATTAATATAGTTTGTGATCGAAGCATAGTTTGTTAGTTCTTACTATAATAATAAAGGAAGGTCCTAATGGTAATCAGCAAGGATTATGTATTTTATCCTATAACAATAATCACTAAGTATAATTAGTATAATTTGATGAAAAATTAATGTAAAATTTTTATTAAAAGAATATTATAAAATTATTATACCTAAATCCTAATGTTCAACTCATTGCATATTGTCTCATTTCCCCTACCAGCTACAATTTTTATTTCCTTTTACATCTCCTCCGCCTTCTGATTGTATCTGAGAAAATAGCATCATTATTCTCATAAATAATATTTAATGGTGCATTCTTCCGACCACATTCATTTAAAATTTTCTTTCTCCTTTAAAAACACATATATACCCCCTATCGACGCTTGTTAAATATTTGAACAAATACAGCTTCATGACAAACTAGAACAAATTTCATCCATCCTCTTCTGTTCTATTATTTTTGTAATAGTAACAACTCCAAAAATCAGATATAATTTCATAATCATGTTGACACAGATTGCATTTATAATTTGATTCTAATTTAAAAACAAAAAACAAAACTATTGGATTAAGAAGCTAGAAGTTGTCAGGTATATTTAATATACTTACTTGGACTTGAATTTGATTCATTTTATAATTATATATATTTACGTTTATAGATCAGTTATTTGACTATTTCCTAGGGGTTAGTTAATTTAATGGGGGTCCAACAAAGGAGTTACATAATATAATTTTAAAATAGTGATCACAGTTAAAACTAAAGCCATATATAATTTACTATGTATTACTATGTCTATGTAAAAGAAAATTTTACCCGATTTCAAAAAAATATTTAAAGATATATTTTTAATAAATCACGCGTCAACAATGAATTCCTTAAATCATATGATCTCCAAAAATACATACTACAATT